ATAAAAAAATAGTGGAGAATATCAAAGTCTCATGACTTACGAAGTACATTAATTTTTTATTTTATTTTATTTTTAAATTTATTTTGTTTCTTTATTTGTTAAAATGATTATTTTGATTATTTATCTTTTATATTTAAACCAATTTGATCCCTTTAAAATAATAATTATTTTTAGTTTTGTAATACAATTTTTGAATCAATTTTTGATTGATTTAAATCTTAAAACTTGCAATAATATATTTAATTATGTAAAAATTATGAAATTTAATTGATATTTGAATCTAAATGTCTATACACATAATAAAAATTGTATGAAAGATGTTTTATAAACAATTAAAAAATTGTATAAAATTATATTTTTAAAATTTTTATTCGTCATTTGGACTTACTTTATATAATTTTCACCATGTTTGTAATATTTTTTTATTTAAATTTCAATTGTATTCAATAATTTTTATATAAATAAATTTAATAAAATAAATTTCAAGTCTTGAATTAGTTAAAAAAATAATTCGTATCAAAATTGAAAGTCATCATTATTTCAAAAGAACTAAATTAATCCAAATTTAATAAATAAAATACTAAAATAAACATTCTAAAAAGATAAAAGAGAAAAATAAACATAACAGATAAATAAAAGACAAAAATATAATTTAACCTTTATATATCATAACTTACAAATTTCTTTAACTATATTATTATTAATGTAAAGTATTTATTAATTAATTATTTTGTTGTTGATAGTTTTTTTTAGTGGAATTTGATTATTTTTAGTATATTGTTTATCGCGTCTTTTTATATATGGTGTTCAAATTCGAAATCCTACTTTAAAATCATCAAATTCAATTTCAACCATACATATCATAATTTATGAGTGAATTGCAATATGAAATACTTTTACAGTTAATCATGATTGAAGGCTAAACTATAAAATCTTTATACTATTAGCACCTCTTAATTAAAAAATATCATAGATTCATAGAGTATTTAAACGTTTTGAAATTGAGTGGGAACATCTACCGTATATAATGGTTAAACATGTGAAATTTATAATTGAGTGGGGACATCATGTTTAACATGTGAAATTTAAGCACAAAATAAAATAACCCAGAACATCTCCTTCCCTCTTTTTGTATGTTCTCCATGCCTCAGGAGGATGCACTGTCAATTAAATACAAATAAGTATTTTTTGTATTTAAGCATATAGCAAAATCAATTTGGTACAAATGAATTTCTAAGGAACACTCACTGAGGAGAATCTAGAGAAATTCACTTTATTTTTTGTCAAATTATAAATATGCAGCTTAGCTGGCTTTAGATCTTACAAAAACAATTGGGTAGTGTGTTTTAGGTCCCCCCAAAATAGAAGAATGACTAATGTGATGGATAGAAATAATACTTCCTCTAATTCTATGCTTTTTGCCGGTGCTATGTAATTTCAATCTTGGTGACATGAACATTTGCCAGTTATGTTTAGCTTGCAAACCAACTATTTTTGCACTTTGATTTTATTGATCAATCACTCTCAAATTCTTTATTGTTTGATACTTCCTTTTTATTTTTTTTTCTTTCCACTGTTCCTTCAATTTTTGTTTGTTTATTAACAAGTAGTTTGCTAATCCCAATTTGCATTCTATTTAACATTCAAGATTACCATTCCGCTGATAATATGAGATCTTGTCATACTTATATATTAGATTCGGATAATTCGTTCATTAAGCTTATTCAACATCTGTCATCTCTAAGTTCTTATGCGAGTTCTTAAAATAAAAACCGATTTTTATTTTTTACATCACTAAAGTACAGTCACTTGAATTTCATGTGCAAAGTTTTTTTTTACATAAGGACCAAATTATTGTAACAAAAAAGAGAAGTGGATCCATCGTGGAACCTCATAAAATAAAATAAGAATCCAAATTAAATTCTTTTATCGAAAAAATGAATTTTTCTCATATTTCACATGACATCATAAAGAGTGCATTAACAACCCAAAAGAAAGTTCTATTATCATAGATGTTCTAAAGTGTGACACTTGTCTGAATTAATATGGCGGTGGCGCAATAGTTGTATAATAGAAAAAAAAATAAAAGATTATAAAAAAATGAATCTAAAAGTACCAAAAGGTGAGGTTAGATACAAGAGAAAACTAATATATAGATATAAAAGTTGAGATTAAAAACCTTTTAAAAAATAAAAGATATAATTAATGACAACATGTTTTAAAAATACATAAAAATAGGTTATAACTAATAATAAATTACTTGCTATTAAAATAATGAAAAAAAAAGGTTCTCAGATCTGACTGAAAGAACGAAACGTGAAGTTTATAGCAATTGATGCATAATATCCTTATTCAACACTTTTTTTAAAGTCATGTGGGGATTACAAGGGGAACAGTGGTTAGGGTTGGGTGATGAGTTGCAAGTTGCCTTGAGTGTTGATCCAATTTATGGAACCTCTAATGATTATGAATTTTTTTGAAAGACACGAACAATACAACTTTTCATTTGATATTGCTATGGTGGCCATACGTTTGTGAAAAATAGGAGTGTTAAGTTTGTGTTAATTTTTTTTTAATTACCGAGGTGTATGCCCGTCATAAATGGAAACTGATTTCTCTTAAGGATTTCACAGACACTTTCACAGTTTCACTACATAGGTAAGTATCATTTCTCATGACTCTTTAATTAAAATTTTATATATCTATTTACTAAAAATATCATAAGGAATTTAACTAAAATATAGTAACAATGTACAAGTTTTTACACTATTATTAATATAATTAATGTTTGACATTGTTGGAACAAGATGATGAAGATGTGTTTATAAATACAAAAATATTTTTGTAAAAAAATATTTTTTTGGATGAAGACCAAAAATAAATTCAAAAACATTCTTAACTATCATGAGTTAATTATGGAATAATTTTATAAATACCTAGAGCATGACTAAGTTCTATGAGTCATTATTGAATACTCGTAAACTGAAATATTGAATTTTCACTTTAGAAAGAGATTAAATCATAGTTCTTTATTCGAGAGAAAAATTTATTAAAATATATGACAATTTTATTAACTTCTATAATAATAAATTAACAAGTCATTTTAAAAATAAGTTTTTATTGATTAATAAAGTAAGAATAATTACTTTAACTAATGAAATTTAATCGACTAGTAAATATTTTGTTTTAATATAAGATAACTCAAAAAATATGTTTAAAATCATTGAGATTAAGAATGTTTTTTTAAGTATGGGTGACCGTGTTAAACTTTTTTCTTTTATATTTATATATATATATATATATATATATGTAATATTTTATTGTATAAATATTTTTTAATTTTAGATTACATATAAATACGTAGCTATTATTACTGATAACAAAATTATGTAGTTCAAGAAAGAAAGAAAACAAAAACACAATAATGAAAAAATTGTTTTCATGTACAAATAAATTTAAAAAGTACAACTTTTGAAATTGTAGAGTAATTGGTGTTAAACTATGTTAATTAACTACAAATTTGACGTGAATCAAAATTTAAATTTACACATATTTTTTTTCTCATATTAATAATAGGATAAATTACATCATTAACTAGTTGAAAGCACTTTTGAAGCATTATTTTCCTCCACATCAAGCGGTAGGGTCCATTCAAGGATATGTCAGCCCAAACTTGCTTGACTTTTTTGGTGCTCCAAACACCATAATTTAAATATTAGAAAGAAAACAAAAATATCAATATCACTAAATTACTTCAACACCGTATATTCGAATTTAAATATAAAAAAAGAGAGAGGAAGAAACAGCCGTAGTCTACATCGTATTCAATTGAAACATGTGTTATTTCCATATGAGAATGCGATGGCTTTATAAATAACACCATTAAGAATTAAAAAGTTTTTTTTTCCAAGCATTTTCCTCCATATCAAGTGTAAGATCCATTGGACGGCGGGCTCACCCTAAATATTAAAAGGAAACAAAACTAGGATTCAAAAATTAGAACAAATTTTAATAAACTCATTTTGATGAATAAATTATATTTTATATTAAATTTTAATAATTCAATTAATAAATTAAAAATATAAAGATTAAATTTATAAATTTTAAAAGTTAAAAATCATTTAATATTTTTTTTATTAATTTATATTAACAAATA